AGGAGGTAAAGAACATTGACAGGCTGGGCGGCAGGCCCTCACTCCTGTCTCTGCTGAGCCTGTGTGGTTGTAGTTGAGGGGCCCTCAATATTTCTTTCTTTCTATCAGTGTTGCCTACCCCGACGGTTGGTGCCCCTTGACTGATCGGCCGCCAACCGGTCGGCTGGTCGGCACCTACCTGTTGGGGGCCGTCGGCATCCCACAAAAAAAAATTAAAAAATGGGTCCAGAACCCCTAATAACCATACTTGCGGCGCACTTCTGCGGTGCGCCGTGCGCAAATTGGTGATGCGCTCAATTTTTTATTTTTAGGGATGTGTGTGTACACACACACACACACACACACACACACACACACACACACACAGAGAGAGAGAGAGAGAGAGAGAGAGAGAGAGAGAGAGAGAGATGTTACGATCCTGGCCAATTTCGAGGTATACAAACATCAGAAAGTACAATGCCGTCCAATTGCAAAAAGAAATGAATGAACTTGAGAGGAGAGAGAGAGGGAAAGAAGAAGAAGTAAGAAAGAAGAAGAAGATGATGTACTCCAGCATAGACCAATGACAAGGCTCTTGTCCCTCGCCAACCAATCTCCTCCTCCTCATCTCCTCCCCTCTTATTCAAATGAGAAATAACAATAATAATGTGGAATGGCTGAACCAGAATTAATGTCCGAATCCCACTTCTACTGCAGGCACAACATGAGGTCTGCCATAGCCATGGCCACCCTTCCTCTTCCTCTACATACAGGCCGAGGCTATGGCGGAGTACTGAGGGCTCTCCCTCCTGTCCAAAGGACAACCAGAAGCAGCTATGCCGCTGCCCTTCTGTCCCCAGGTCAACTCCATGCAGCTATGCCGCTGCCCACTCAACCGCCATGCCTGACTCTGTCCCGAGCTTCCTTGATGCGGCACTACCCCCACTGGGGCCTTCCGGATGCAGCGCCTAACAAGGTGATGAAGATGGTGTCTACCATAGCCAGGTAAGTACCCCACCACTCTCCTCCTTGGTCCCCTTCTCCCGCCTCCTCCTAACGGTAGAGCTCCACCATAGCCAAGGTGGAAGCTCCAGGCTTCTTCCTCCCAGCAGTGCTGTAGTCCCAGCGCTACAGCCAGCGCTCCAGCAGCGTGTCGCCAAACTTGCACACTGAAGAATGAGGCCGAGCTCTTGCCTCGGCCTCTTGATGTAGCGGCCTGCTTGCCTCCTGGCCGGTGACTTCCAGGCCGCTCGGCCTCCCAAGCAACCGGTACCTCCTCCCTTTTCGGAGGGACACATTTTGCAGACTCTGATATTGTCCGTACAGGCTCTAGACTCAGACTGGATGGACTGGTACCGGCCTAGACCTAGCCTACCGCTACTGGGCCTCTAAAAATGCCAACTTTGTCTCTTCTTCTGCTTGGCCTCGAGTACCCGGCGCATCTACTGCTACTGGGTGCGATACCGGCCTACCTGCCACTTGACTGTTTTTCCGCTACTCTCATTTTCGATTCTTCTAGAAAAGGTTGAATTGAAATACATTTATTAGTTTTACAATCAGTTTTCCGCACTACTATATGTTGAGCAACGTCTACTAATCTTCTTGCAAGGTATCCTGAATCCGATGTTCTTATTGCAGTATCTGCAACACCTTTTCTTGCACCATAACAAGATATAATATATTCTGCTAAAGAAAGTCCCTCTCTAAAGAATAGGTAAATCAATAACTCGATGCCACGACCACAGGTAAATACCGGCCCTACGGGCCTGCCAAACAAGCAAGTACCCTTGCGGGTCACACACACACCCATGCCAACAAGCACTCAGACAGGCACGCAAGTCCACAGGCACGCACACATACACACTTAGAGAACACAGCAGAATGTGGGAAACTTGGCAAGGCATCCATTCCATCGGCAGAACTTCAGAAATCAGCACTGTTCTCAGTCTGTGTTATGGCGGGTCATTACACTAACCCCTCCTCAAGAGCGAGGTCCCTTCGAGCAAGTAACTTAATCAGAGTCCTTGCATAATGCATCATAAGCATAAATAGCAAAGAGAGATAGGGTATGTTCCGTAGGAGTGAGGGTGGCAGTGAATTTAGGCTGCTGTTCGGAACTAATCAATCGTTCGTATGCGTTGACGACTCGCAGGGCACTCTGCAGCAAATCTTTCTTAGCAATCGAGTAAAAGTCATTCAATGGATGATATAGGAAGTGGACTTTGTATTGTTTGTTTCTCCCCTTCCCACTGTGCTCGACAATTCTGTCAATCTCGCGACTGCCCTTGATTGCACGAGGAATCATTGATTCTCGATATGGAAAAGTTTCGGGTGGTTGATACGGAAACAACTTCGATGCATGAAAGACTGGGTACGCGCGTAGATGAGGAGGCACGTCGATTGTGTAAGAAGAACCAAATGAATCATTCCCTACTCGGTTCACCACCTTCCACGGACCTTAGTACTGAGGAAGAAGCTTCCGTGATACACTCAGACATCTTTACCCAAACATAACTTCCCACTGTGAAAGGGTCAGGCTGGCGCTTTTTGTTTGCATGCTTAATCATGGCACTGCGTCGCCTTTCCATGGCTGCGACAACAACTTTGAGCAAACGATCAAACTTAGCGCTGTAGCCTGGCTGGCCAGGTGTCAGGCCAGGTGGCTGTTCAGGAAGCAGATAGGATAGAGGATTGCGAATTTTCCACCCCAGGTGCAGCCGGTTAGGTGTCATCCCGGTGGAGTGTATGGAGTTGTTGTACAACCCCTGCACAATCGGCAACTCCTCATCCTAAGAGTTCTGATCAGGCACAATTAGAGCTCGGAGAAGGTGGATCACAGTCTGGTTGATCTCCTCGGCCAACCCATTGGCTTCGGGATGTCGACCAGATGTCATCGTGAGTTTGATGTCATAGATCTGGGAGGTGAAGTCCTTCCAATCTGCACTTATGAACCTAGTGTCCCGGTCACTCACGAGAGTTTTCGGGGGCTCATACTGCAAAATGTACTTCTTATGAAACTCTTTGATCACAAGGTCAGTTGGGGCGTGAGGTGGCAATGGAATCAGATTCAGAAATTTTGAAAAGTGGTCAACGATCACCATTACTTGCGAATATCCATTCCTACTCTTCTTCCCCATGTCCGTGAAGTCGATGGAAAGAGACTCACCCGGGCCATCAGGAATAGGAAGAGGATGCAACAACCCATAGGGCTTTTGCCGAGACGGTTTGATGCGTTGTGCCATTCCTTTCATTCCAGGCCATACAAATTTTTGCAGCAGACTTCCGTATGTTTTCTAAAAGTCGAAGTGTCCACTCCAACCATGAGCCAAGTCCAAGAAGTGAGTAAGGATCGACTCATGGTTGGGTACACACAGTCGGTCGTGCTTCCGGTAACGTCGGATAAGTAAGCCCTTACATTTATGGAAATCAGGCTGACTGCTAAGGTCAGCCCGAATCTGCTCAAGGATGGGACTGAGTTCCGGGTCCTTGGCAGTGTGCTCAATGAGTTCCTCCTTCAAATTCTTACGGAGATCATAGGAACCAACAAGGCAAGTCATGTACTCAGGATGGCGAGACAATGCATCCGCAACGCGATTGTAACAACCTTTCTTGTGCTTAAGTTCAAAATCATACACATCAATCTCATGCAACCAACGGGTCAATGTGGTTGATGGATTAATCTGTGTCTGAATCCATTTCAAAGTCTCGTGATTTGAGAACACTTTGAAATGACGACCCAAGAGGTAGTGTTTCCAATGATTTAGTGCCTCTCTCAAGGCGTAGAGTTCTCGCATGTAAGTGGAGGCAACTACCTTGTGATTGGGCATGCGTTTGCTGTAATATTCAAGCGGATGTAAGCCATCACCGTCATCTTGCTGCAGCACTGCACCAATCCCATACAAGCTTGCATCCGTAGTTACTACGAATGTAAGTTTGGGATCTGCAATGCGGAGCATCGGATGACTCACCAAAGCCTCCTTCAATGCTTGGAAGGCTGTTGCGCATTCCCCATCCCATGTGTAAGACATATTCTTACTTGTCAACTTGGACAACGGACGGACGATGATAGAGAATTTGGGTACAAACTTACGGCAGTA